TGTAGGGTTCAAACATTTGGTTGCTGTTAAAATATTTTGAGGGCCCAGTGGGGGTCAAAGACCAAAGCGACGCCCGACAGGCGCCAGGAGGCTTCGACCGGCCGGGCCTGGGTCTCAGGCGAGCGGCTGCGAGCGTCCCTCTCGCCCATCCCTAGCAGCGGGCAGTTGGCGGGTGAGCAGTGCCAGGCAGGAGGGCGCCGGGGGCAGGTGTGGGCGAGTGGCGAGGGTCGCCGCTGACGAGCAGCGACCACCGGGTTGAGGCCAGACGGCCTTGCTCGGCGTCCACCCTCCCGCGCTGCTGGCCGGCTCCCGCAGGAACACCCTGCCCGCCTCGGGGGCTCTCGGCCCCGGCCGCGGCTCGGTGCGGCTGGGAGCCCGGGCCCGCGTGGGCTTCGCCTGGCATCGGCTGCCCGGTGGTCTGGGGGAAACTCGGAACCTCGCAACAGGTTGAGGCGCAGCACTGGGGGCTGTCTGCTGCCCCCGCGGCTTGAGTCCGTCCCTGGCCGTAGAGGCCCCAGGGCTGCAGACCCCCCTGTCCGGCCGCCGGCCCCCGCAGCCACCTGTTCTGCTCCCCACTGTATCTCTGGGGACCCCTCACCCCACACTGGACTGCACCCCAGTTCTTGTGTGCACAAGTTCCTTTTGAGAACACTTGGGTCATTTATCTTGGCCACGGACATTCACGGCTGTGACCACCGACCTTGGGAGAGACAGAAACGTCCTCTGCCGGGCGCTCGGGTCAGCGCGGCCCCGGCAGCGCCCGGCTCCAGCCGGCGGCCAGCTCCTGGCAGGACCCCCGGCCCTGGCGAGGGCCGCTCCCAGCCTCGGGGCGCCCTTTCCGCGCTGACTGGCAATTTCTGGCGCCTCTTGCGCCTCTTCCCCGGGCTGAGGGACCAAGGCCGCGCGGCTCAGACTGGGGGGCTCCCGCTGCTCCCCTCCTTTGACAGCCGGTTTCAGCGCAGGCCGTTGCCTCGGACACCTGGCCGGCTGGGGCGGTTCTTTCAGCCTCAGCCAGGCGTCTTCTTCCTTCCTGCGGAGCCGAACCCGCCCGCCTCGAGCACAAGTTCTGCGCTCCCGCGCGCGCGCACGGTGCCGCGGCCTCGGGAACTCGCGCCCCGCGCTCCTGTCCAGCGCCTGCTCGCCGCCAGGCGGCGCCTTCGCTCTGCGGGGGGTGGGGGCGCTCCGGAGCCCCACAGTGCCTCTGAGTCCCAGAAACAATGCCGCCGCCTGCGGCTCTGGGGACTCGGGGGCAGTGACAGCCTGACCCGGGGGCCGGCTCGAGCTGGCCGCCCTGGCCGCCTCGCTTTGCTGCGTCTTCTTTTGTTCCCAACCTTTGTAGTCTTGCCCTCGGTCACCCAGCAGCGGGCATGGCCTGGGGTGTCGACAGGGCG